ACACACAAAATTAAAAAAAAATCAAATACTATAGAAACAATCTCTAATAGAATGAAGAAGTTTTTTTTATACAAAATAAAAAGATGAGAGAAAAATGAGATATATATATATTATTAGGAGGCTATTTTATATATAAAATGATATATATATTCTAAAGTATTATGAAAAATAATATTTTTTCATAAAAATAAGGAATCATGACCCCTTTATGTTTTTCTCCTAATTCCTTCCCTAATACTAATTCATTTTTTTTTAAGATAGCACGCTAATTCAAAACTTAATGATGCAGTTTGGTGCTAATTTTTTCCTCCATCTTACCAAATTGAACCAAACCATTTACATCCTTTAACAATAAGGTAGGGAGGGATGTTTTTATATTATGCATTCAACTGTTAATTTAAATTTATAATAATAAATCTGTGGGTAAATTACACTTTGTCCCCTTTCTTTAGTCATTTTCTCACTTTGGCTCTTGAATTTTTTTTCCCTCCCACTTTGATCCTTCACGTTAAGTTTTTTTCAATTCACTCCTAAAGGTAACTTATATTCAAACTTAGATAGAAAATACCACGTTAGCTGTCACATGATATAAAAAAATAGATAAATTATAAATACACCCCTTGAAATTTGTTGAAAATACAGATTGTCCCTGTGGTTTGTGAAATTATAATACTTCCTTTATCATAATTTTTTATTTAATAGAATTAACTAAAAAATAAAATTTCTAACAAGTCTTTTATACAATAATAAGTTAGAGTTCAACAAATAACACACATGAATCCAAACAAATTCAAAGGCACATCCTTGTGTACCCAAACAAAAAAAGAAATGCTCTTATGGACCTAAACAAAAAAGGCCTTTGATCTATGGCATGAGCACCTCTTGTAAAACACTATATAATGTAGTAATATCATGTTTCTAAAATTATTATAAATATTAAGGAAAAATATTATAAATAAAAAATAGTGAAATTAATCACAAATCAGCAAAAGTTTTCATATATAAAAGGAAAATTGGTCTAACATCATTTTTCAACTTTTAATAAGGGGGGGTGGTCCACAATAATTTTTTTTGTAGTCTAAGGTCCCTCAAAATTTATGAGTTCATCGGTGAGACAAGAGACCAAAGTCCACTTGACGAGATCTAAATGCTCAAACAATGAATTCACTTCAAAAGCTACACTGATCATGTAGTCAAAACAAATTAACCAAACAAAGACTAAATATGAAGCCGTAGAACTCTAAAATTCTCAGAAACCTAAGTGTTTACTTCAAATTGTACACTCATGGTACACCAAACACAAGAATTTCTTCACACAAAGAGAGAGAGAGAGGAGAGGGGGAAATAACTAAGGTCTGAAATGTAGAAGAGGGTTGAGAAAAGCTTAGAGATGAAGGAAATTCCAAACAAGAAAAGAAAAAGAAGAGTTGTTCGAAAGAATTTCTCTGGAGAAAATTTTCTCTAGAGGGACCTTAGACTTTTGCCCTCACTGCCTTCCCTCTCATCGCACTCACCCTCTACTTCAGGTATATATCTATATATATAGTCACTCATTATAATTATTTTAGCTTATTAATTTTATGCAAATTCAATTCAATCCCTTTTTGTTCACCAACACTGATTATTTACTGGGTAACTTTGAATTTTGTGGGAAGTCCATAATTTCTCTGGAGAGGGAAAAGTTCAGAAAAATTCTTCCTAGAAAGTGGGAAGGCCAAAAAAAGAATTTCTTTGGGAAAGTCAGAGAATTTTCTCTGGAGGGACTTTAGACATTATAAAAATATTGGATGTTTTATGTTATATATTTTTTAAAAATTTTTTCATAAAAAAAAAATAAAAAAAATCCCCTTTAATTTTTTTTTTTTTTTTTTTTTTTTTTAGTAATGACCAATTTTATGTTTTGCTTATAATACTATTTTAATTACTATAATTCATAAGATTTAAGGTTGGTGTTGGCCCGCGCGCTCACTCAGCGCAGCTATATTTTTTTAGGGCTTGAGAATATTATGGGTAAATTACACTTTACACACTTACATTTTATATAAAATCTCACTTTAGTTCTTACACATCAAATTGTGACACTCAGCCCCTGTACTTTTGGTCAAGTGTCACGTTGACCCTTCTGTTAATAGTGAGGCTAACAAAAGTTATCATTTAGGGAGCTAAGTATTACAATTTTGATGTATAGGGATTAAAGTGGGATTTTGTATAAAGTGCAGGGGTGCAAAGTGTAATTTATCCTCACTTGTTTTTCATGTGACTAACTTCTATTAACAATGAGGCTAACAGAAGGGTCAAAGTGACACTTGACCAAAAGTGCGGAGGGGTTAAATGTCACAATTTGATATGTAAAGGCCAAAATTGGATTTGATGTAAAATGCAAGAATGTGAAGTATAATTTACCTGAATATTATTTTAACTCATAGTGTTAGGTTGGGTTGATTTTCAGTCTAATTGATTAACAAGGTTGGATTAGGGCTCAGCCCGACCCACTATATAATTTAATTAATTAATTAATTTATATAATATATTAAAAGTAAATATATCCTTATAATTGTATAAATTTTTAATTTGTTTTTTATTTGATGTTAATAATTTATTTGTTGATGACGTAGAAAACTTAGTGATTG